GTTGCCGCCTGTTGCCGAGTCTCCAATCCGCTGTCCAGTCACGGAGGGAGCTCGGCTGAGGCCCCAAGCCTAGGGGGGAGATTGCCTGCCTGTCACTGAAGACCCCCCCCCCCCGTGCCTGGAATCATCCCTGGTTTGCGCACACATCACCCTCCCTGCCATTTCCCCATTGAGTGTCTGTCCTTTTGTTGCTTCAATAAAGTTTTGTTTGTTCTCCATCTTCTCCGTGTGCTCTGTCCTGCCTACGCTTCCGTTACACCCCTGATCTGTCATTAGACCCCTGATCTGTCATTAGACCCCTAATCTCTCATTAGACCCCTGATCTGTCATTAGACCCCTAATCTCTCATTAGACCCCTGATCCCTCATTAGACCCCTGATCTGTCATTAGACCCCTAATCTCTCATTAGACCCCTGATCTGTCATTAGACCCCTAATCTCTCATTAGACCCCGGATCTCTCATTAGACCCCGGATCTGTCATTAGACCCCTGATCTCTCATTAGATCCCTGATCAGTCATTAGACCCCGGATCCGTCATTAGACCCCGGATCCCTCATTAGACCCCGGACCTCATTAGACCCCTGATCTCTCATTAGACCCCTGATCCGTCATTAGATCCCTGATCTGTCATTAGACCCCTGATCCCTCATTAGACCCCCGGATCCCTCATTAGACCCCTGATCTCTCATTAGACCCCGGATCCCTCATTAGACCCGATCCCTCATTAGACCCCTGATCCTTCATTAGACCCCGGATCCCTCATTAGACCCCGGATCCCTCATTAGACCCCGGATCTCTCATTAGACCCCGGATCTGTCATTAGATCCCTGATCTGTCATTAGACCCCTGATCTGTCATTAGATCCCTGATCTGTCATGAGACCCCGGATCCCTCATTAGACCCCAGATCCTTCATTCAGACTCCCGGAGGAATGGGAAAACCTGGGAACCATGGGGATTGGGTGGGGGGGTCAGCGCTGTAATAATGGGAGGACCCCGGCATGACCCTGGATGTTGATAGGTGTGCAGGACTTCAATCAGAAGGCGGCGGCAGATCTGTCAGTCCCAGGATGATTGGTGATGTGTGTCTATAGATGCACACAACGCAGGAGACACGGCTCCACTCTCCATATACAAGGGTGTCGGGGGATGGTGTGTTCTCGCTGACTACCCCCCCCCCCCCCCCCCCCCCCCCCCCCGAGTTGCAGGCAAGCAGTGGGCGGGGCCTACCCCCCCCTGAATGCGGGGTATCTCTCCCAGTGAACCAGGTGGAGACGGAAGAGTCTGACATTAAGGCGGATCCCCGAGATGAGCCAGCAATGTGTGCAGTCATAGATGCAGGGTCCTCTGAAAAGCGACTTGTCATTGCTTGCGCCCCACCCATCACAGAATAGGGCCCCCCCGCCCACCACCTTATTAACCCCTTCACCTCCATATCTTGTGACCAGGCCTATCTTAGGGGGATCCATGACCTGGAGAGGAGAAAAAGACCTGGAAACTGAAGAAACGGTTTAACCGCTTCCTAGCAAACTGGCAACCCACACCTCACCTGTCCTCATCCAACATGGCCACCCACATCTAACCTTCCCTCATCCAACATGGCCACCCACACCTCACCTGTCCTCATCCAACATGGCCACCCACATCTAACCTTCCCTCATCCAACATGGCCACCCACACCTCACCTGTCCTCATCCAACATGGCCATCCATACCTCAACTGTCCTCATCCAACATGGCCACCCACATCTAACCTTCCCTCATCCAACATGGCCACCCAAACCTCACCTGTCCTCATCCAACATGGCCATCCATACCTCAACTGTCCTCATCCAACATGGCCACCCACATCTAACCTTCCCTCATCCAACATGGCCACCTACTCCTCACTTGTCCTCATCCAACATGGCCACCCACACCTCACCTGTCCTCACCCAACATGGCCACCTACTCCTCACCTGTCCTCATCCAACATGGCCACCCACATCTAACCTTCCCTCATCCAACATGGCCACCTACTCCTCACCTGTCCTCATCCAGCATGACCACCCACACCTCACCTGTCCTCACCCAACATGGCCATCCACACCTCAACTGTCCTCACCCAACATGGCCACCCACATCTAACCTTCCCTCATCCAACATGACCACCCACACCTCACCTGTCCTCACCCAACATGGCCATCCACACCTCAACTGTCCTCACCCAACATGGCCACCCACATCTAACCTTCCTTCATCCAACATGGCCACCTACTCCTCACCTGTCCTCATCCAACATGGCCACCCACTCCTCACCTGTCCTCAAACATGGCCACCCACACCTCACCTGTCCTCACCCAACATGGCCACCCACTCCTCACCTGTCCTCATCCAACATGGCCACCCACTCCTCACCTGTCCTCATCCAACATGGCCACCCACACCTCACCTGTCCTCACCCAACATGGCCACCCACTCCTCACCTGTCCTCATCCAACATGGCCACCCACATCTAACCTTCCCTTATCCAACATGGCCACCCACTCCTCAGCTGTCTTCATCCAGCATGTCCACCCACATCTAACCTTCCCTCATTAAACATGGCCACCCACACCTCACCTGTCCTCATCCAACATGGCCACGCACATCTAACCTTCCCTCATCCAACATGGCCACCCACTTCTCAGCTGTCCTCATCCAGCATGGCCACCCACACCTCACCTGTCCTCATCCAACATGGCCACCCACATCTAACCTTCCCTCATCCAACATGGCCACCCACTCCTCACCTGTCCTCATCCAACATGGCCACCCACACCTCACCTGTCCTCACCCAACATGGCCACCTACTCCTCACCTGTCCTCATCCAACATGGCCACCCACATCTAACCTTCCCTCATCCAACATGGCCACCTACTCCTCACCTGTCCTCATCCAGCATGACCACCCACACCTCACCTGTCCTCACCCAACATGGCCATCCACACCTCAACTGTCCTCACCCAACATGGCCACCCACATCTAACCTTCCCTCATCCAACATGGCCACCTACTCCTCACCTGTCCTCATCCAACATGGCCACCCACTCCTCACCTGTCCTCATCCAACATGGCCACCCACACCTCACCTGTCCTCACCCAACATGGCCACCCACTCCTCACCTGTCCTCATCCAACATGGCCACCCACATCTAACCTTCCCTTATCCAACATGGCCACCCACTCCTCAGCTGTCTTCATCCAGCATGTCCACCCACATCTAACCTTCCCTCATTAAACCCACCCACACCTCACCTGTCCTCATCCAACATGGCCACGCCATCTAACCTTCCCTCATCCAACCTGGCCACCCACACCTCCCTGTCATCCAACATGGTTACGCACATCTAACCTTCCCTCATCCAACATGGCCACCCACTTCTCAGCTGTCCTCATCCAGCATGGCCACCCACACCTCACCTGTCCTCATCCAACATGGCCACCCACACCTCACCTCACCTGTCCTCATCCAACATGGCCATCCACACCTCACCTCACCTGTCCTCATCCAACATGGCCACCCACACCTCACCTCACCTGTCCTCATCCAACATGGCCATCCACACCTCAATTGTCCTCATCCAACATGGCCACCCACATCTAACCTTCCCTTATCCAACATGGCCACCCACACCTCACCTGTCCTCATCCAGCATGGCCACCCATACCTCACCTGTCCTCATCCAACATGGCCACCCACATCTAACCTTCCCTCAGCCAACATGGCCACCCACACCTCACCTGTCCTCCTCCAACATGGCCACCCACATCTAACCATCCCTCATCCAACATGGCCACCCACTCCTCACCTGTCCTCCTCCAACATGGCCACCCACATCTAACCTTCCCTCAGCCAACATGGCCACCCACTCCTCACCTGTCCTCCTCCAACATGGCCACCCACTCCTCACCTGCTCTCATCCAAAATGTCCACCCACATCTAACCTTCCCTCAGCCAACATGGCCACCCACTCCTCACCTGTCCTCCTCCAACATGGCCACCCACTCCTCACCTGTCCTCCTCCAAAATGTCCACCCACATCTAACCTTACCTTATCCAACATGGCCACCTACATCTCACCTGCCCTCATCCAACATGGCCACCCATATCTCACCTGCCCTCATCCAACATGGCCACCCACATCTCACCTGCCCTCATCCAACATGGCCACCCACATCTCACCTGACCTCATCCAACATGGCCACCCACATCTCACCTGCCCTCATTCAACATGGCCACCCACATCTCACCTGCCCTCATCCAACATGGCCACGCACATCTCACCTGTCCTTATTCAACATGGCCACCTACTTCTAACCTTCCCTCATCCAACATGGCCACCCACAACTCACCTGTCCTCATCCAACTTGGCCACCCACACCTCACCTGTCCTCATCCAACTTGGCCACCCACACCTCACCTTCCCTCATCCAACATGGCCACACCACACCTCACCCTTCCCTTATTCAACATGGCTACCCACACCTCATCTGCCCTCAACCAACAGGGCCACCCACATTTTATCTGCCCACATTCAACATGACAGCTCACACCTCACCTACCCAAATCCTTCATAGCCGCCTTCACCTCACCTGCCCTTGTCCAACATGGCCGCTCATCACTTCCATCGCGAGGGGTCTCGCTGCGCAATGGAGCTCCATTATCGACAGGAAGCACGTGACCACCACTCTACCCTTTTTTATAATTTAATGAACTTCAATATAACAAATTATAGAATCAACTTCAGGAAGTGGAGGTCACGTGCTCCCTGTCGATAATGGAGCTCCATTCTGCGGCTAGACTCTATTGGCTTCCTTCAAGAAGATGGGCGGAGTCTGAGCGATCCTTCCCATGTGACACAGCGCACCGCCCACCTCAGACGTGAGAAAACCAGAACGTTCTGTGCGTCATCACCACGGTAACCGCCATCCTCTCGCCGTCTCCGCCCACCGACTGACGTCACTCCCGAAGGAGGAAGATGGCGGCGCCCGGAGACACGATGATCGCTATGCGGCTCCGGAACCAACTGCAGTCCGTGTACAAGATGGACCCCCTGAGGAACGAGGTAGGTACCGCCCACCGACCGGCGATATGTGCCTTACTGCCCACCGAGCCACCCTCCCACCCCCCATTTACACCGAACTGCCCACCGAGCCACCCTCCCACCCCCCATATACACCGTACTACCCACCGAGCCACCCTCCCCACCCCCCATATACACCGTACTGCCCACTGAGCCACCCTCCCACCCCCCATATACACCGTACTACCCACCGAGCCACCCTCCCACCCCCCATATACACCGTACTACCCACCGAGCCACCCTCCCACCCCCCATTTACACCGTACTGCCCACTGAGCCACCATCCCACCCCCCATATACACCGAACTGCCCACCGAGCCACCCTCCCACCCCCCATAACACCGTACTACCCACCGAGCCACCCTCCCACCCCCCATTTACACCGAACTGCCCACCGAGCCACCATCCCACCCCCCCCCATATACACCGAACTGCCCACCGAGAACTGCCCACTGAGCCCCATCCCACCCCCCCACCGAACTGCCCACCGAGCCACCCTCACACCCCCCATTTACACCGTAACTGCCCACTGAGCCACCATCCCACAACACCACCCCCCCACACCGTACTACCCACCGATACCCTCCCACCCCATAATACACCGTACTACCCCACCCGAGCCACCCCACCCACCCCCCGTATACACCGTACTGCCCACCGAGCCACCCTCCCACCCCCCCGTATACACCGTACTGCCCACCGAGCCACCCTCCCACCCCCCGTATACACCGTACTGCCCACCGAGCCACCCTCCCACCCCCCGTATACACCGTACTGCCCACCGAGCCACCCTCCCACCCCCCCCGTACACCGTACTGCCCACCGAGCCACCCTCCCACCCCCCGTATACACCGTATACACCACCCTCCCACCCCCCCAGTACTGCCCACCGAGCCACCCTCCCACCCCCCCAGATACACCGTACTGCCCACCGAGCCACCCTCCCACCACCCCCAGATACACCGTACTGCCCACCGAGCCACCCTCCCAACCCCCCCCCTCCACCATATACACGAAATGCCCACCGAGCCACCCTCCCACCTCCCATACGCACTGTACTGCCCACCGAGCCACCCTCCCACCCCCCCATATACACCGTACTGCCCACCGAGCCACCCCCCATATACACCGTACTGCCCACCGAGCCACCCTCCCACCCCCCATATACACTGTACTGCCCACCGAGCCACCCTCCCAACCCCCCATATATACCGTACTTGCCCACCGAGCCACCCGCCATATACACCGCACTGCCCACTGAGCCACCTTCCCAACCCCCCATATACACCGTACTGCTCACCGACTGGCAATATATACTGTACTGCCCACCGAGCCACCCTCCCACCCCCCATATATACACCATACTGCCCACCGAGCCACCCTCCCAACCCCCATATACACCGTACTGCCCACCGAGCCAACCTCCCACCCCCCATATACACTGTACTGCCCACCGACCAGCAATATATACCATACTGCCTACGAGCCACCCCCCATATACACCGTACTGCCCACCGAGCCACAACGTCCTCCCACTCCCCCATATACACCGTACTGCCCACCGAGCCACCCTCCCAACCCCCATATACACTGTACTGCCCACCGAGCCACCCCCCATATACACCGCACTGCCCACTGAGCCACCTTCCCAACCCCCCATATAACACCGTATACTGCTGCACCGACCTGCAATATATACTGTACTGCCCACCGAGCCACCCCCCCATATACACCGTACTGCCCACGAGCCACCCTCCCACCCCCCCCCCCCCATATACACTGTACTGCCCACCGAGCCACCCTCCCACCCCCCCATATACACCGTACTGCCCACCGAGCCACCCTCCCAACCCCCATATACACCGTACTGCCCACCGATGCACCCCCCCCATATACACCTTACTACCCACCGAGCCACCCTCCCACCCCCCCATATACACCGTACTGCCCACCGAGCCACCCTCCCACCCCCCCATATACACCGTACTGCCCACCGAGCCACCCTCCCACCCCCCCATATACACCGTACTTCCCACCGAGCCACCCTCCCACCCCGCATATACACCGTACTGCCCACCGATGCACCCCCCCCCCATATACACCTTACTACCCCACCGAGCCACCCTCCCACCCCCCATATATGCCTTACTGGCCCCCCCTCCTGTGTAGGCAGTGTTTGCCCCGCCCCCTCCTGTGTAGGCAGTGGTTGCCCTGCCCCCTCCTGCACTGACTCCGCCCCTCTTGTGGTTGCAGGAAGTGGTGAAGGTGAAGATTAAGGAGCTGAATGAGCAGATTGTGTGTTACCTCTGTGCCGGGTACTTCATAGACGCCACCACCATCACCGAGTGCCTACATACCTGTGAGTACCTACCTGGGGGGAGGAGTCCGAGAGGGGGTACTTCATAGACGGTGGGGGGGGGTACAGTGGGGTGTGGACGGTGGGGGTTGGATGGGGGGGTGTATGGCGGGTTGGGTGGTATCCCTCCCCTGCAGTCTGTAAGAGCTGTATAGTGGATGGTGGGGAGTTGGGGGTTGGATGGGGGGGGGTGTACGGTGGGGGGCGGGGTTGGATGGTGTGTGTACGGCAGGTCAGTCGGTACCCCTCCCCTGATTGGTCCCCTCTTCTCCCCTGCAGTCTGTAAGAGTTGTATAGCGGGGGGGTGTGCGGTGGGTGTACTGTGGGGGTGAATGGTGGGGGTGGATGGTGGGGAGTTGGGGGTTGGATGGGGGGGTGTACGGAGGGGAGCGGGGGGTGTACGGCGGGTCAGTCGGTACCCCTCCCCTGATTGGTCCCCTCTTCTCCTCTGCAGTCTGTAAGAGTTGTATAGTGGGGGGTGTACAGCAGGTCAGTTGGTACCCCTCCCCCTGATTGGTTCCCTCTTCTCCCCTGCAGTCTGTAAGAGTTGTATAGCGGGGGGCGGGGGGTGTACGGCGGGGGGCAGGGGGGGTGTACGGCGGGTCAGTCGGTATCCCCCCCCCCCCCCCCTGATTGGTTCCCTCTTACAGACTGCAGGGGAGAAGAGTTGTACGGTGGGGGGCGGGGGGTGTACGGTGGGGGGCGTACGGCGGGTCAGTCGGTATCCCCCCCCCCTGATTGGTCTCCTCTCTTCTCCCCTGCAGTCTGTAAGAGTTGTATAGTGGGGGGCGGGTGTGTGTACGGTGGGGGGGCAGGGGAGTGTACGGCGGGTCAGTCGGTATCCCCCCCCCCCCCCCCCCCCCTGATTGGTTCCCTCTTACAGACTGCAGGGGAGAAGAGTTGTACGATGGGGGGTGTACGGCGGGTCAGTCGGTACCCTCCCCTGATTGGTCCCTCTTCTCCCCTGCAGTCTGTAAGAGTTGTATAGTGAAGTATCTGCAGACCAGCAAGTACTGTCCTCTGTGTAACATAAAGATCCACGAGACCCAACCGCTCCTCAACCTGAAGCTGGACCGGGTCATGCAGGACATCGTCTACAAGCTGGTGCCCCCGCCTGCAGGAAAGTGAGTACCCCCCCATCCCCCTACCCCCAAGCCCCCCGCCCTCTCCATGTCCGTGGGATTCCTGATTGGATCCCTGCAGAGTGATGCTCCGCCCCCTCACCCCCTCCTCCATTGTTGTCTCCATCAGATGAGGAGCGCCGCATCCGGGAATTCTACCAATCACGGGGCTTGGAGCGTGTACTGCAGACCAGCATGGTGGAGGGTAGGTCTGCCGACATTGTGTACCCCCCCCCCATAGAGGGGGCCCCTCGCTGTCATCCCTCCCCCCATAGAGGGGGCCCCTCGTTGTCATCCCTCCCCCATAGAGGGGGCCCCCTCGCTGTCATCCCTCCCCCATAGAGGGGGCCCCCTCGCTGTCATCCCTCCCCCATAGAGGGGGCCCCCTCGCTGTCATCCCTCCCCCATAGAGGGGGCCCCCTCGCTGTCATCCCTCCCCCATAGAGGGGCCCCCTCGCTGTCATCCCCTCCCCCCCCCATAGAGGGGGCCCCCTCGCTGTCATCCCTCCCCCATAGAGGGGGCCCCCTCGCTGTCATCCCTCCCCCATAGAGGGGCCCCCTCGCTGTCATCCCTCCCCCATAGAGGGGGCCCCCTCGCTGTCATCCCTCCCCCATAGAGGGGGCCCCCTCGCTGTCATCCCTCCCCCATAGAGGGGGCCCCCCTCGCTGTCATCCCTCCCCCATAGAGGGGGCCCCCTCGCTGTCATCCCTCCCCCATAGAGGGGGGCCCCCTCGCTGTCATCCCTCCCCCATAGAGGGGGCCCCCTCGCTGTCATCCCTCCCCCATAGAGGGGGCCCCCCTCGCTGTCATCCCTCCCCCATAGAGGGGGCCCCCTCGCTGTCATCCCTCCCCCATAGAGGGGGCCCCTCGCTGTCATCCCTCCCCCATAGAGGGGGCCCCCTCGCTGTCATCCCTCCCCCATAGAGGGGGCCCCCTCGCTGTCATCCCTCCCCCATAGAGGGGGCCCCCTCGCTGTCATCCCTCCCCCATAGAGGGGGCCCCCTCGCTGTCATCCCTCCCCCATAGAGGGGGCCCCCTCGCTGTCATCCCTCCCCCCATACATACAGAGGGCCCCCTCGCTGTCACCCCCCCCCCCATACATACAGAGGGGCCCCTCGCTGTCACCCCCCCCCCCCCCCCCCCTACATACAGAGGGGCCCCTCGCTGTCACCCCCCCCCCCCCCCATACATACAGAGGGGCCCCTCGCTGTCACCCCCCCCCCCCCATACATACAGAGGGGCCCCTCGCTGTCACCCCCCCCTTCCATACATACATACAGAGGGGCCCCTCGCTGTCACCCCCCTTCCATACATACAGAGGGGCCCCTCGCTGTCACCCCCCCCTTCCATACATACAGAGGGGCCCCTCGCTGTCACCCCTCCCCCCATACATACAGAGGGGCCCCTCGCTGTCACCCCTCCCCCCCATACATACAGAGGGGGCCCCTCGCTGTCACCCCCCCCCCCCCCCCCCGCTCCCCCCATACATACAGAGGGGCCCCTCACTGTCCCCTCCTCTCTCTCCTCAGATCCGGTGGTGGATGTGACTCGTCAGTCGCTGTCGGCGGTCGTCTCTCAGGGAACTTCTCACTACTACAGGAACGATGAACACGTCTCCCTGTGCCTGGAGAGGGCCGGGTAAGAGGGGGGAGGCAGTAGTGGTGCGACCCCCCCCCACTGTCAGTAGTAGTGCACCCCCCCCCCACTGTCAGTAGTAGTGCACCCCCCCCCCCCACTGTCAGTAGTGGTGCACCCCCCCCCCCCACTGTCAGTAGTGGTGCACCCCCCCCCCCACTGTCAGTAGTAGTGCACCCCCCCCCCCACTGTCAGTAGTAGTGCACCCCCCCCCCCCCCCCCACTGTCAGTAGTGGTGCACCCCCCCCCCCCCACTGTCAGTAGTGGTGCACCCCCCCCCCCCACTGTCAGTAGTGGTGCACCCCCCCCCCCCCCCCCCCCCCACTGTCAGTAGTGGTGCACCCCCCCCCCCCCCCCACTGTCAGTAGTGGTGCACCCCCCCCCCCCCCACTGTCAGTAGTGGTGCACCCCCCCCCCCCCCCCACTGTCAGTAGTAGTGCACCCCCCCCCCCCCGCTGTCAGTAGTAGTGCACCCCCCCCCCCCCCCCGCTGTCAGTAGTAGTGCACCCCCCCCCCCCCCGCTGTCAGTAGTAGTGCACCCCCCCCCCCCGTCAGTAGTAGTGCACCCCCACCCCCCCCCCCCCCACTGTCAGTAGTAGTGCACCCCCCCCCCCCCCCCCCTGTCAGTAGTAGTGCACCCCCCCCCCCACTGTCAGTAGTAGTGCACCCCCCCCCCCCCCCCCACTGTCAGTAGTAGTGCACCCCCCCCCCACTGTCAGTAGTAGTGCACCCCCCCCCCCCCCCCCGCTGTCAGTAGTGGTGCACCCCCCCCCCCCCCCCAGCCGCTGTCAGTGGTGCACCCCCCCCCCCCCGCCAGTAGTGGTGCCCCCCCCAGAAGTGGGCACCCGCTGTCAGTAGTGGTGCACCCCCCCGCTGTCAGTAGTGGTGCACCCCCCCGCTGTCAGTAGTGGTGCACCCCCCCCCCGCTGTCAGTAGTGGTGCACCCCCCCGCCCGCTGTCAGTAGTAGTGCACCCCCCCCGCTGTCAGTAGTAGTGCACCCCCCCCACTGTCGGTAGTGGTGCACCCCAACCCCCCCCCCCCCCCCCACTGTTGGTAGTGGTGCACCCCCCCCACTGTCGGTAGTGGTGCATCCCCCCCCACTGGGGTCAGTAGTAGGTCAGTGGGGGGGGGGGGTACTTGTGCAGTTGTAATTATTGAACGACTTTTCAGGGCCGTTGTCACCCGGACGGGACGATTTCTCATCCTTTGTTTCCTTTCTCTGTAGCTCTGCAAAGGATAAAAAGAAATTCATTTTACAGGTAACTATCTTCTACACGCCCCTCCCCCATACATACTCCATGCAGCTGCTCTTCTCTGGCTCCTCCATGTTCCGTTGATTATCCAACTGGGCTCCCCATAGATTAGAATCCTGATGGCTTCCTGTACCTTGCACCCCACAATGGTGGAAAGTCTCGTGCTATCCTTGTGTTCGTTCTCTCTGCCATCCATCGTTACGCTGGCGTTCTCTTTAGGGCTCATCCAGTTGCTGTTCCTGAGCATTATATGGAAGAACACATCCCGGGCATCCCTTTAGACGTCCATGCTCCCCACTGCCGCCCATTGGGTGCTGCAAGCTTTAGCTGTGCAATCTGCTGATCACCCTGTGAGAGACATCAAGCAAACTGATCAACACATTGCACAATGCCTGCGGTACCGGGGGCCAGCAGGGAGGAGCATGCAAGTCTAAAGGGATGCCCAAGATGTGTTCTTTCATATAAAAACCAGACCAGTGGGACTTGAGCTAGTGCTGATACCTCTCAGGGTGTCCGTAGTTGTAAGTGTCCCGTTGGGGGGGTGGCAGGGACAGTAGTTGTAGTGATTTGGGGGGGGGGCGGCTAGGGACAGTGGTTGTTTTTGCGTCCTTATAGGGGGGGGGGGGCAGGCAGACAGTAGTTGTAGTGTTGTTCGGGGCTATGTGGTTGTGTCATGGGGGGGGGGCAGGGACAGTGGTTTGTCATTATGGGGGGGCGGGGGGCAGCAGGGACAGTAGTTGTCACTGTTGGGGGGGGGCAGGGACAGTAGTTGTAGTGTCATTTGGGGGGGCTAGGGACAGTAGTTGTCACTGTTGGGGGGGGAATAGGGACAGTAGTTGTAGTGTCATTTGGGGGGCTCCTAGGGAACAGTAGTTGTCACTGTTGGGGGGGGCAGGGACAGTAGTTGTCACTGTTGGGGGGGGGCAGGGGACCAGTAGTTGTAGTGTCATTGGGGGGGCAGGGACAGTAGTTGTTGGGGGGGCATTGTTGGGGGGGGCAGGGACAGTTAGTTGTAGTGTCATGGGGGGGGGGGGGGCAGGGACAGTAGTTGTCATTGTTGGGGGGGCAGGGACAGTGGGGGGGGGGGCAGGGCAGGGGGGGGGGGGGCAGTAGTTGTAGTGTCATTGGAGGGGGGGGCAGGGGGGCAGGGGACAGTAGTTGTCATAGTTTGGGGGGGCAGGGTCCGTGTGGGGGGGGGCGGCAGGGACAGTGGGGGGGGGGGGAGGGCGGCAGGGACAGTTGGGGGGGGCGGTGAGCGGCACGGGTCAGACATTGGGGGGGGGGCAGGGACAAGGTGGGGGGCGAGGGCGGGGCAGGAGGCAGGTGGGGGGGGGGCCAAGGTGGCCAGTATGGTGTATTACACTTCGAATCTTTCTATAGAGAGATGTGTGTGGGATCCCCCGGATGTGTTGCCCCCTTCCTGGATCTAGAAGGGAATAGTAAAGATGGAGGCAGGCCCTGGTTACCCATCATGCCCTCTGCAAGGATTGGACTGCGCAGGATACAGGATGTGGTACAGCTGACCTTGCTGAGATAAAACACACTCCCTGTATATCTCCTCCCCCACTGAGGGAAATTCAGAAGACGGCCTGGAGCTGGTCTTCCATTCAGGTGTCCTGATTGGTGGTTCCCCAGACCCCGCTGGGGTGGTGTTGCGTGGCT